AGTTACTTAAAATCTTTCTTGAAATATACAAAGTATTTTCTTTATCTCAAGCGCATTTACAATGTCTTTATTATTTTTAATGATACGATAAAATATCATTGAGGATAAAATATATATTCGTTTCAAGAAAAGACATTACAAGAGCACAAAATTGTTCTCAAGTTTATATTTTTTCAAATTTTAATGTTATCGTATAAATCATATTACATTTTTAAATTACGATAATATTTTTATGCACATAGTAATGAGATAAACCAATTAATGTAAAAAAAAAACACATATAGTTGGTTTTCAAAAAGATTGGTGAAATTTGCAATAAATACAACTACATATTTTTTAAACACTGTGTTTTCTTTACACCAATTAATTTATCTCATTATTTTGTGCATAAAAGTATAGAAGAACAGTATTTTATTAAAAGTATTATGAAAAAATGAGTAGTTTATGAGATACTTTATGTCAAAACAAATTTTATGCCAAGAAAAAGTATAAATATCTCGTAATTTTATGCCAAATAAGTCTCATAAATTACACATTTTTTAATATTACTGTTATAAAATTTTTTTATATATGCGCATAATATTATAATTAGAAGAATCAAATTATTTAAAAAATATGCAATTTCACTTTAAAAAATAATAAATATTGAAATCTTAAAATATATCTTGTGTTTGTGCGGAAAACTTTTTGCTTATCATACACACACATAATATTTGCTCTTTCGCAACAATTTTTCTCTCTTTGATATTTTATTGTATTATTAAAAAATAGAGATACTTTAAATGATTAAGTTAAAGGAAACATTTTGTATATATTAATTATCATAATAAAATAAAAATAATTATCGCAATTAAACAATACTTTTAATAATTATTAATTTATAGGGATGCATATTTTTACGTTTTTACGATATTTTCGCAAATTCGTAACTTATTCCCGAAATCAATAGCTTCTCATTTGACATTCAATGATCCACTTTCTCTTTAAATAGCAAAGTAATTTCATAATATCGCAAAAAGTTGATTCCGTTTTCTTTTTTATCCCGCGAGTTTTGATGTTGCAAGGATCGACATCTCGGCGTGAAAGTAGGCATTTATCAAAGTGAAATGTCAGTAATCTCGATAAATATGTACATAAAAAGTGAGATAATTATCATCATTCTTTAATGGTTGCACATACCAACTATTATTAGGAGACACGGTAGTGTCTCCGGCTATGTTCAAAAACTAAAAGACATTACAAGTCTTTTATCCCGAGCCACCAAAGTCCATTTTTGGGGAGCGCATAATTACTAAAATATAAAAAATATTTGAATCGGACGTTATATGTCCTGAAAGGCGGTATCGCCATGAGTAATTTGAACCAAAAAATTGTTTAACGGTCAAGCCGTTCTGGAGATATAAGCGATCAAAAAGTGGTGATTTTAATGAAAAATTAAGAAATTAGAATATCAAAAATAACTGCTATCATCAGTTAATAACATTCATAACACATTCTTAAAACTATATATGTGCCATGTTTGCCAATATATAATCGCAGTATAATAGTACAGTAACACGTGACCGATAAGGTATCCGGTTTATTCCATAAATTGAACCAAGTACTTTTCCACTTTTCAGTTAACTTATATTACCTACTTGTAATATTAATTCAATAATATATTATAAACTTAAAATTAAAGAAGATTATAGAAAACAATTAATAACGATCGCAAAAACTTCACGCTATCACCAATTGATTAGATAAAAATATTATATTGACCTAAAATTTGTGTTACAATTATCAGATTAATACATAATAACAATCAAAATTAAATTTGAATTAAAAATTGGCTTAATTCTTAAAAATTATGACTTAAAGTGTATAATAACTAATAATTTTAATAATTTTAATAATTTAATAATTTTGTTTCTCTAAATATAAAATACATTATCATAAATATATAATCATATTTTGGTTTTGTATTATAACTATCTACATCTCTTAAGGAAAGAAAAATGTAACTATATAAATGTGTATTACAAAATATCTTTCAACGTATAATGATATATTTTTTATTCATTTCATTTACATTTATGCAACTATTTAATTTATGCAATTAATGATTGCGTTTAGAAGATAAAGTCATTCAATAATCGCTCAAAAAATAAAACTCAGTGATGATCTTTTAACATGATTTTTTAATATAATTAATTTTTGTGTGTGTGTATTTTTTTATTACTGGATATAAGTGTTGCAATCATGATAAAGACTTACTGAGCGCTCACTGAGCAGTTTTATCTTCTGAAAGCAGTCTAATTTTGACGATATATATGACGATTAATATATTAATTTCGACGATATTATCTGTTACTTCTTACTTCTTAGTAAGAAATAACAGCAGTATTACTTATTTTATCAAGAAATTTCAGACGAAATTATCATTAATGATTGCACTAACACACATTGCTCTGACCACAAGGTCATGTTTATACCTACTTATAATAATTATTTGTAGGCAACATAACTATTTATAGGTTCTTGCTTATGATCGTCGGTGATTGATAACGTAATCGCCTTATGCGAAACGCTTTTCCCGGACGAGCGTCACGTCTTACAGAGGAGAACTTACTGGTTTAAAAGAATTCACGCGGAAAAGATCGAGCGTGAGTGACTGATCGCGAGTGACGATCGCGCGAGTGACTGTGTCGCGTGCAAGGGCAACCGCAAATTTTGTTAAGTACTACAAAGTCTACTTAGAAGAATCGTCCAATCTCCTACATTTAAGTTGGAGAACGGAAAACCAGTCGTTCTCCTCAGCTCACTGGAGACATTAGACAGCAAAGGTTCGCACAGTCGCTCTCCCTCCTTTTACAATCGAAACCAATGCATCGGCAGATTTATCAATTATCGATACACAAGCCATCCGTTTGTCATTCGTCGTGATATGCCATTGTGATCGAGAGGATTTATTCATCAGGCGCTGCACAATTATAACTAAAATCAAGGTATTGCTCTTTTTATGTCATTAATAAGCTTCGTGTAGCCTAAATTAAAAGTTTAATCTTTAATTTGTATTTGACAAATAAATTTGAATTTAATAACAATTCATTAGATACTAATTTGTCAAAATATAGAATTTCATCAATTATTATAGCAATCTATTTTTACCTCTTTTTTTTATAGGTATTTCAATACTAACATTTAATCATATTATATGTACAAAAAGGATGATTTTATTGAAGTATAAAAAAATTTAGCTATATAATTTATTACACCATATAATTACATAGAATTCCCAAGCATGAATAATTCTGTAAAAAGTTTAGCAGTTTTCAGTTCTACATAATTATTTGGATGGTCCAACAAAATTATTTTTAGATCTGTAGCTAGCTAAATTTTCAGATACTCTAGCAAAACCGTTCCTTCCGTGCACACTATTGGCCTGTTCTTTTTGCCTGCACTGTCTGAACTGGTACATACAGTGCAATAAGTTGAAATGAAACAAACGTATATCTGTTTCACTTCAACTTATTGCACTCTGTGCACCAGTTCAGTAAAAAGAACAGGCCTAATATGTACTGTCCTCCCATGAAATTACTGAAGAATTTAATTTCTATTGCACAATAGAAAAATTGATACGCTGATTTTCAAATTTTTTAACAGATTGAACAATTAGATCAAAGTGTATTAGTAAAAGTGTAGCTGTAGGCAATTCGTTGTGATATCGTCACACAAAATGATAAAACACAATTTGCAACAATTATGACAGTATACGAAAAGAAAAAGCTGTTACATTGCAGATATAATTCTTTAGATAGGCAAACTATCGTCTGCAAAAAAACGAGCTACTATAACATTACAATGGCTCGCTTCTTTTGCGAATAAGTAATCGATTTTTGCATTATGTGCAAATAATTTTTATAATTAAAAAAATTTTTTTTCCACAAACAAAATGATGTATTAACATTAGATCTAATTAGAAGTAAGCTCATTAATTTAATAATTAATTAAATAAATATTTGTTTTATTAAAATATAAGAGTATAATATTGAAATATATTTTTCTAATTAAAAACTAACATTGTTAATGTAACAATATTTTTTTCGTGTACTCCAAGGTATACTGTTTAGCATAAGAAAGATTAAACTTGATGCTTTTAACATAAATAAAATATATAATTAACAGAAAAATTATTAACTTTAATAGACAATATATATAATATGATAAATAATAATTAATACATAATACAAACTTTTTTCAAAGTATATGTCTTATTTCAAAGTCATAATTTATTGTTTTTATATATACAATATATATTAACAAAGATGGTAATAAACATAGAAATATTTAATAATTATTTAATTAACATTAAAAATTGTTAATAAATAACATTTGAAAATTTATTAAATTATAACATCATGTATTTTCAATAAATTTGAAAAAAAATTTCTCAATTTTAAACTTAATATAACTTTCTGAACATAATTCATAGTAACATACGTGTATGTGTGTGTGTGTAATTTATACAAAAATTATATATATACATAATGCTTAAATGTTAAGTTGGACTGCCATTTCGTTTGATAGATCGATACATATTATCTGCATACGTTTATTAATTTTTTTAAATATTTCTACAACATGGTCACCTTATTCATTAATAGAAACTTCATTTATGTATTTAATAAATATTAATGTAATATTATTCTTAATAAGAGATTTCATATGTATACATGTACATGTATTACATATTATATATATAAATATACAATTATATACATATGTATATTGATAATACATAATAGTAATACATAATTATATTTAAACCTATAAAATGTAAATCTATATTCATTTTCTTTTATTTCGCGATGTAAGCACGCTGAATAATTTACATTTGTAAATATCCTTTCAGCATAAACATATGCGGCATCTAACTCGAGGACGATCAACAATTTAAATAGCCACAAAGAGTATCCGGCAAGATATCTAGATAAATTTCCTGATTGCGAACGACCAATATGGCGAGCGTGGACAAGGATCTCGAAGAGCTTATGTCCCATCTGGGTGAATTCGGCAAATATCAATTCCGACAGCATTGCCTTCACTTACTCGCCGCTCTTACGGCCGGTGTGCACATGCTGTCTTTACTGACAGTGGCGGCGGTACCAGCGCACCACTGCAACATCCCAAAGGTGAACGTGTCATTGACCAAGGAGCTGTTCAATTTTACTACTCATAATTGGAACAACTCAGACGTGCCTCTTCCACGTAATCTGGATAGCTGCCACTATCTGGATCACGACAACATCATCCAGGAATGCGACTCGTGGACCTATGACACAACATACTTCCAGTCATCACGCGGCATAGAGTGGAACTTTGTTTGCTCGCGACGTTGGATGGGCGCCGCGGCGCAATCCTCGTACATGTTCGGTGTGTTTGTAGGTGCGGTCACCCTCGGTAGCATGGCAGACAAATATGGCAGGAAGATCATATTCTACGTGTCTGCCGTGGCACAATTAGTGCTCGGAGTATTGGTCGCTCTAATAAATAACTATTATATCTTTCTGACAATACGCTTTCTCTATGGTATCTTTGGTTCCGCCGGCTCGTACATCACCGGATTCGTGTTAACGATGGAACTGGTGGGTTCGTCCAGAAGGACCGTGTGCGGCGTATTGTTCCAATTGATCTTTGCCGCGGGTTTCGTACTGGTGTCTGCATGGGGCATTGTACTCAAAGATCGTATGTGGCTCCAAATCGTGTATGGTTTGCACAGCGTAATTCTGCTTGGTCACTGGTGGCTAATGGACGAATCACCTAGATGGCTGTGGGCACACAATCGTGCCGCTGAAGCAATTATCATTGTACAGAAAGGCTTAAAGGTAAACGGCAGCGACGTCCACGTGAATGCTGCCAAACTGATCAGTAAATCGAAAGTACAACAGGAAACCAAGGAGAATAAATCACACGGCGCGTTGGATCTCTTTAAAACGCCGAATCTCCGTAAGAAGAGTCTAAACATCTGCTTCAATTGGTTTGCCAATTCGATCGCTTATTACGGACTGACGCTTAACATGGGCAATCTCGTCGGCAATCCATATCTCATGCTATTCCTCAGTGGCGTGCTGGAGGTACCAGCATACATTTTAATAATATTCACTATGGATCGCCTCGGTAGAAGATGTCTAATCAGTTCGTTCATGATGATAGCCGGCGTGTGTTGCATCTGTGCCGCCATCATCACCGGCACGACTGGCGACCTAGTGGCCATAGCTACGGTCACGATAGTACTCGTGGGTAAGTGTTGTATAGCCGGTTCGTTCGCAGTAGTGTATAATTACACAGCCGAGTTGTTCCCCACGGTGGTGAGAAATACGGCGCTCGGTATTGGTTCCATGTGTGCGCGTCTCAGCGGCTCTCTTACGCCCATGATCTTCTTGCTGGACTCGCTGAACGCACGAGTACCAGCCGTACTCTTTGGCTTAGTCGCTCTGGTAGCGGGTTTTCTGGCGCTCTATCTACCAGAAACGCTAAACCAATCGATGCCGGAGTCTATCGAGGACGGCGAGAACTTTGGTAAAGGTGATACCTGCTTCACCACCTGCATAGGCGGAAGCGCGAAAGCTGCCATGAGCGAAGTCACGATGGACAAGATATCCGAGAAAGACGAAAAGGAGAAGTTAAACGATATATAAACAACGATATCGCCTTAGAAAATTCATCTAGAGTGCTTTTAATTCAACTTAGTTGTTAATACTTAGTTATTATATGCTGATAAACATCAGTCACACTTTGATTTCAAAGTCATGAAATTATTGCGTAGATATCGAGGAGATAACTTAATATTTTATAATCATGGAACAGTGTCCCTAAAATCATTGCAAAATTCATATAAAATTCTCATGCATAATTTAATAATTACATATGCAATCACGAAAAATTATTATGTAATATTACATAAAATTATTTATTTTATCAAATGACTTTATATATAGTAAAGAACATTATTTATAATTAGATAAAATTGTATGAAATAAAATGTAATCATGTAATCAGTGGGACAATATTTCAGATAATGGTTACCCCCTCGGTAATATGCTCATAGATACGCTGCAGTATCAGAAATATATTCAGAATTAGAAATACTTATATTCTTGGAAATTAGAGCTCAGCAAAGTGATACACACAATTCTTTACTAAAAAGAAGATATTTAGTAATGATTTATACATCATGTACATACAAAGAAAGAGTGAAAAGTCACTTTTTGTAACTGCATAAAATTAGTTAAATTAATTAACAATATTATATTCTTTATTTTTATAAAAAAAGTAAAAAATATTTTCTAAAATTTTTTAATAATAATAATTACACATATATACATTTATAAATGTATATTGTACATGTATATATATATATACATATAATTAAAAAATTTTTCTAAAATTTTAAAAGTAATAACAATATGAATACGCTTTCGAGGCTTTCACGGGTATTTTCTTCAATTATGCGAGAAGGTTTGCGGGTTATCGCCGTGTCTTTCTTCATTTTTAATGCCGCATAATGATTTTTAATGCCGACAATATGAATATATACATACAAAATGTGATAAAACAATATTTTTTTATAAGCGACATTTCATTGTAACCCAATTATTGTAATTTTTATAAAATTATACGCATATATAGAAAATATTCAATATATATATACTTTCAAAACCTAGAAGATGAAATTATTTAAACGTAGAACGATTATGTGGTTAGTAAAAATATTTAAATAGTACTTTTATTAAAAACTAAACTTTAACGATTACTTTTTCTATACAAAATTTATTCATTTTTTTATAAAACTCATCGGATTTTTACTACACGTAAATGTCCACGGTAGAAGTGATTAAAGATTTTAGCTGCAATCCCCCTTCTTGCTTGCCATAAAATCCTTATAAAACGCTAGAATAATCTGAGAGAGAGAGAGAGAGAGAGAGAGAGAGAGAGAGAGAGAGAGAGAGTGTCAACGAGGGAATAAATTTGTTGACAACCCCGACTTATCTCGCTACCTTCGGTGAGATAAACCGACCAGAACCAACCAAGTTGAGGGTTATGCGAGATAATGGGAAGGACGCGGAGAATTTTAGAGCCCACTATGATCCTAATGGCGAGGATGCAATTCAGAGAAGATCTTCCGGGAGGACGCGAGAGATCTTCGGTTCTGATGAAACCGCCAACTCACCCCTTTCTTCCTAGCTAATGGAAAAAGTTTGTCGCCCGGTCCAACGCTTTTCCAATCATAAAGTTTGAAAAATGGTCACGTCTTGTTATCCGTAGATTTTTTTACCATATACAAAATTGACGATAGTAGGAAAAGGTCTTGTCTCTTTAGAAAATTTCATAAAGTTCTCGTTCACTTCAAGTTGTCATAGAAAGAACATGTGATTCCTTCTTAATCAGTTTATTTTATAATTGATATTATATTATACCACATTAAGTTTTATTTAAGAAATTTATTTTGCATTTATTTTGTAAATTTATTTACAAAATAAATTTACTTTTAAATATTCTCGTTATTTATATTTCATTTAAATACCTTTATCAAACTCTCATTAAATTACTCAAAGGATGATATTATAAACTCGTATGCAAATAAAACTCGAAAGCTATCCAAGTTATCGAAGATTAAATTATATTATATACAATATGATATTATATACAATATAATAAGACGTGAATGTTTATATTCTGATTTCAGTCAATTTGTATCAAACATTATTTTTTAATAAATTAAAAATCATTACATCATAAATTGATAAAAATAATAATTGAACAATGTAAATTTATTCTCTTACTATAAATCTCGTCAAAATGTATCACGCATCACCAGCTAAGCATATCTAAGATATGCGCTTCTCGCCTTAAAGTTTCTGATTCGCAGTGTCACGGCGAGCTTTACGAGATTTCGCCGGTGCATTTTGTAGATAAACTATTCGAAGAAGAGTACAATCTAAGGCGTTATAATTTATACACTTATAATTTATGCGCAAGTTACGACGCAACGCTGACGGCAAGTTTTTCCGCATGTGTCTCCCTGGTTGTTCAACGATTAAAAATAACCTGCATGGAGTAATCACTTGTGCAATATGATGGACGCGTTTCCCTTTCCTCACGATGATTTAAATCGATACAATTAATGGTCAATACATTTAACGCGATCGATGTATGCATCATCAATTACTTTTATGCAAAATGCGAAATTAGCGAGGTATTGTAACTCTTCCGCGTTCGTGAATTCACGAAATTCCACACATAACGTCGCCGGTGTCGGCGGGATTAAACTGTACTGCAGCTCTAAACTGTAATCTTGGAATTCAAACCAACTAAATTGGAAACAATGAAATCGATAATAAACTATAAAATATAAAATTTGCAAATATCTTTAAAACGTTCTATCATTTGTTTCGTGTTTCGCGAAAATAGCTCGCAGTTTTTCAAATAAACATCTCAATGAAGTTAATAAATCTAAAAATCTAAATAAAAAAGCGATAACTTTAAATTTATGAATTTTTTAAGAAAATAGAATTAATGAAAATAGTAATTAATGAAAAGATTATGAATAAAAGTGTATATCTTGTCATTAATCATATTACAATATTTTCTTAAGAAATTCATAAATTTCGTCTATTGTAAATAAAACGTGTTAGAAAAATTAAAAATTTTTTATTCATTTATTCGTTCATCTAGATATATATTATACATCTAGGAGGAATCTGGGAGGACTCATTTCAGATAAATGCGCGCGAATATTTTAGAATGTAGGACGTGTCCCTCAGGAAAATAAAGCAACTCCTTACAACTGTGAGCTGTAAAGCTTCAATTTATATATGTAAATCCGACCCTGATGATCGTACACTCACCTGCGTTATCGAGCGCGTATGAGGTCCATGCGCAAGGAACACTGGAGACCGGGGTGTACACAGGAACACACGGTGACAGGGAGCGCGCGTCGCCTACTGAACTCTCGCTCTGTTCTCACCCATTAAATCGCAGAAAACGTTGCACCAGCGCGCGCAACTCTGTCAAACACGCTGCCGCAAATTCGATCTCCCGTAGGATTGAATCCCTCGGAAGTGCTGCTGTCCTCCAAGTTTACGTCCAAATAGAAGAGCGCAAAATGCAAGACGGGTGTGTTCCCTGCAATCAATAACGATCGAATAGCTTCGAAGCTGTTAGTTCAAGTTAATTGAAATCCTCCAATCTTTCGCGATCACTCTGTGTCGAAAGCTTGACTTCTGCATAATGGTCTACAATATTCAATCCCATAATTTCAGAAATAGTTTTGCTGAATAGTTTGCAAACAACATTTCTCTGGGACTTTCGTAAAATGTTTTAAATAACAAATAAGGAATTATTATCATATATTACGTTAAACTTGATTTAGTCTTAAATTATGATAACGTTGTATAAATGTCTTTCTCTAAACTTATAATTACCGAGATCAATTATTATATATTTAATACCATAAATTTAGAATTGCTATTGTATTAAACGTCGAAAATATAACTTTGAAAAACTACGAAGCAATAAATATTTTTTTTCTAATTTAAATGTTTTTTTTGGGGACCATCATATTAATTTAAATTTTAATTTCTTAGACAAAGTTCGGTGAAAACGCTGTCATTTCAATTGAATGAATAGGAACTTTTTTACTATGCTTTCATATAATATCTCTCTTCTCAACAATTGTGACAGAGCTCTTGCTTTCCGTCGATTGAAAAGCAAATCCATGATTGATTCAATACGCACGAAGCGAATTTCGTTGATATCTTGATTTATATTTTGTATAAATTTTACAATAAATATTTACTATATATCTTCAAAATAAGAGGCTGATTGATTACAAAAAATTATTTAATCAAAACTGATCTTAGTTTGCAAATTGAACAAATTAAGTTCACTATTAATTGCAATATTAAATCTAAATTATTATTATTACATTAGTAAAATGTCTGATATTGCCAAATTTTTTGTTTTTATTTTTTATTTAATTATTTTTCTCAGCTTACACCATATTAAATATTAAATCGTTTAATATTCGCGCATTATTTGGTATATCATGATAAATTTTCTCATAAGGAGATGGTCACGATTTAATTATCGCCGCCAGACTTTAATTAAATTGATACCATCTTCGGACCGTAAAACAGTTGGACGTGTTCTAATTGCGAATTCCCAATGACTTATTTACCAGCAGTGAGGATATAACACATCATGCTATATATATACAAATCGTTTTTAATTAGAAAAGGCATACGAATTTTTATTTTTTTTTATCCAAAGACAAAATGTTTGAGATAGTGATTACATGAAGACTAGGAAAAGTTGACTGACTAGAAAAAGTTGAATGACTTTTTTATTGGAAAAAGTTTTAAAACATCTTAAGATCATCTCATTTCTTTCCTAATTGAAAATAATTTTTCTATTTCTTCGCGAAAACTACAGATAAAAGGTGTAAGTCCAACAGCATATTTATGCGTTTAATCAAACGCTAATTATCATATTTAATTTACCAACAAATAATCTTTCCGTTTTACACAAAATCTTTGAAATTATATTCTTTATGGAAGATAAAAGGACTATAAATAAATTAAATATACTTTTAAAAAGTGCCACATTCATAATTACAAAGAAAAGAAATTAAAGGTAA